TTTTTACTGTTCTGTGTTTGTGCACTATCAATCAAATTAAGGTCCAATTTACCAGAGAAACTGTATAAGCTGTATACTCTCTTTTCCACTGTCAGTAAATATGGTATTAATATCTGCAAAGAGAGCATGACTATTTCTAGATGACCAGATTTTGCAACTGTGTCTGCATGGACAATTTGGGCCATGAAATGCCTTTTGGTTGAGAATAGTGAAATGTAGACATAGGTGTCCTGGGGAGGGTGAACTAGACCTGTGCTTACTATCAGAGTGCTGTTCCTTTTCACCCTTTCAGTTCACTAGGTGGAGAACTCAGTGTTCCTATATGTGGAACTCAACTTCAAGCTTACAGGCTCTTAAAATAAATCAAAACCTTCATTGACAAAAGCCAGCAGAGCAGCTGAGAAAGTCAGTTCAGGCCTAAAAGGACCTTTTTTCTCTAGTTCTGAGAAAGCTTTTATTAAGCATTCCAAGATAGAGAGTTAAAGAGGGTTTTCTTGCCTTCTGTGTTCTCTTGGAAAAGAGCAACAAATTGAGCATCTTTCAGGGACCTTTTCCTACCCTAGGCAAAAAAGTGATAGAGATGCAGCCGTGTTAGTCTGGTGTAGCTGAAGCAAAAGACAGAACTATGTAGCACTTTAAAGACTAACAAGATGGTTTATTTTACAGTGGTCTCCAACCTTTTTACACCCAAGATCACTTTTTAAATGACAGACCAAGCCAAGATCTACCGCCCCGCCCCCTTCCTTGAAGCCCCGCTCTCTCTATTCTCCTCCTCTCCATCACTTGCTATCACCAATCCTTATACTGTACTGCTGCTTATTTATATTTTGTATTCTTCTGTAGGAAGAGGTTTTTCCAACATTTGGCCTGTCTACACTGGACCAAATGTCAGAAAAAAAACCCTTCTTTTAGAAGCCACCTTATTCCTTGTGGAAAGAGGAATATAGGGGTGACCAAAAGAGCCTGTTTGCTCTTCCACTAAAAAAGCGGAAGAACAAACGCAACCCTGGACGCAGAAGAGTTTTTCTGGGATATCTCCAGAATCCTGAAAAACTCCTGCAGTCTAGCTGGACCCTTGCTGTGTTGAGACAGGATGTGTAGGCTCTGGGGTGGGAATGAGGGATTTGGGTGTGGGAAGGGGTGAGAGGTGCAAGCTCTGGGAGGAAATCTGGATGCAGGAGGAGGTGGAGAAGGGAACATTGGCTCGGGGAAGGGGATCCAGACTGGGCAGTGTTGGGATACTAAGCAAGCCACAGGCTTATGGATGTAAGGGTGCAGGAATTTGGGCTGGGGTATGTGAGGGGCTGAGGGCATGAGGTTCCAGTGTTTGATAGGCTCAGATCTAGGGTCTGGGGAAGGAGGAGTGCAGGAGTGGTTGTGGCCAGATGGGGGCTTGGCCCCAATTGGGGGTTTGTTGGCCAGGCTTCATTTTTAAATAGAATACTATGTTAAACACAAAAAGTTTCTGCATTGTCTTTATTTATGAGAATGGCAGGGAACCTGCCTTGAGTCAGCGGGTCACTGACCCATAGAAAAGTATTTGGGAGCAGGGGACACAGTACTGGGGAGGAGTGCTAGTGGGTTCTGGAGCAGGGAACAGGGTGCCAGTGGGGGCAGGGGAGAGGGGGCAGGGTGCCAGGACAGGTTTCTGCAGCAGGGGACAGGGTGCTG